GGTAAATTTTATTTTAAATTTTTTATTGATTCCGTGTCTGAATTCATGGTCAAAGTTAAGAAGGTTGACTCTCAAACTCCAGAAAGTATCATCCTTTTTTTGGGACGAAGGGAGTATATGTTTTCTGTACTAATTGAATTTCCTTAAACCTTGTGGGTAAAATGTTCCTCTTACCCAATGTTGTAATATAATATTGTGAAATGGAAGCCAATAGCCTGAAATCATTCCTCAAGGTGATTTTGTCTTCAAAATGTCTAGATTCCAGAATATGCTGGATCTGGATAGGCAGGAGGAATTCTAAGCAGCTTATACTAGGCAGTTGCTTAAATGCCAATATTTTAGGAATTTTTCAAAGCACACCGCTCTTGTGCAATGCTCAACAGAGAGCACTTTGACACTTTAAATTATTCTAGTTTTGCTGGCCTTTTGCAATTTGCAGAGCCTTCCCCTTTACATACAACTACGATTGTGGAGAAGTGCACTCTTAAACTTGTCGATGAGTTTAACCACATGCTCTGCCAAGCCACCGAGCCCTTGTCATCCTTTCTGGAGTACATCAGGTACATATTATTTGTGTTGCTGGGAAAAATTGTCTCTTTATCTATATACCACTTTTCTATTTTTGTGTGCATGGTGAATTATCTTAGAGAAATACGATGACAAGTTATCCTGCAAAGCATGATATTTGAAATTTTACCTTTTTACATTAAAGGGCACCTTTTGTATAATAGAACTGAGAACTCATTTGTACTATTCCATTAACATAGGGTTTATTATGTTGCATTAGGCTGTATGGCTGTATATCACATACTTAGTTAGTCTCATACCCTTAACTTTTACCTGTATTTTTCAGGAAAATGCATCAAAAATTTTGTATTAAGAAAAAGATGAAACAATACCAAATTGGTGCTGCTCTTTAAGAAAGATCAACTATTACTTCCTTAATAAGCATTTTAGTCGTAAATAGCAACGTGGGTGTTACGCATCCTTACAAGTAGTTACAGCTCTAAAGAGCTTAAAGATATTAATACGATACTATATACGTTATTTTTATTTCACAAATAAACAAATAAAGTTATAATGCGTCTATCTTTCCAGCTTTGTTCTTAACCCCTTTGAAGCATATTCTATTCCTTTCTTCCCAGAGCTTCCAAGAGATGCAGAAAGGAGTTATGTCCTAAAGTTCCCTAACATTAATGCAGATTAGGCAGCCTCTCCAGATAGTTTAGCAGTCTTGCAGTTGTTAGCAGTTAGCATTACCCAAGATGCCCCATTTCTTTAGAGAATGTTATGAGCAGTAGAGAATGTTCCTTTAGAATACCTATTACACCATATCTTCTCCCATTTCTGCAAGTTATCTTATGTTGTTGGAAAGACAGTCAGAGAAGATGATAGACTTGGAAAGTTTAATTCGATTTGAAACATAGCTCATTAACTTCATTATCTAAAGCTCATTAACATAGCTCCACTTCTGCAATGTGATTGAATCTAAATTGTGGTGTTCCTTCACATGGTTCAGATATGGTCACATGATTGATAATGTTGTCTTAATTGTCACCGGAACTTTGCATGAGAGAGATGTCCAAGAATTGTTGGAGAAATGCCATCCTTTGGGCATGTTTGACAGGTATTGTTCCAGATGCATGCCTTGGATTTTTATAGCTAAATGAAATATGTATTAACCATTTTAATATTTTGCAGCATTGCTTCTCTGGCAGTTGCCCAGAATATGAGGGAGCTATACAGGCTGGTGCTTGTTGACACACCCTTGGCCCCATACTTCTCTGAGTGCATTACTTCCGAGGTATCAAATGTTTCACCCTTTTCTTTTAACTTTGATATGGTAATCAGAAACTACCTATTGCCGTTTCCAAATAATAAAAGGTTGCATATGCTTTTAGGGGTCGTTTGGTACAATGGTGGGATATCCTAAAATATCCCAGGTAGTGGGATATCCCATGGGATTAGTTATCCCACCTTTTATATGAGATAACTAATCCTACTATTTTAGTGTAAAAGTTGTCCCAGGATTAGCTAATACCCAAACCAAACATGGGATAAAGTTAGTTCCAAATTCTATCCCGGGATTATTATCCTTATCCCTTGTACCAAACGACCCCTTAGTTTTCTTGAGTATCGACCTTTTCATTTCATGCTGTCCCTTTGAAGAATCAATATCGAGTAATTGGTTGTAGCTCCATGCACTTCATATGTAGTTAACAAGTATCCTCTTCCCGCATTACAGGGCCCTAGTATTTTGTCACTGATTGCTTGCAGTTTTGAGGATGATAGTTATCTTATCCGTTTTTGTGCATTCCAAGTAGAATTGGTTCGTAATTTCAGAGTATCTTTCATCATGCATCAGTTGCTTTTATCAGTCTGTTTTCTTCCATGTATGAACATATCCTCTCATATATGAGACTTACTTTTGAGCAGGACTTGGATGACATGAACATTGAGATTATGAGAAACACATTATACAAGGCGTACCTTGAAGATTTCTATAGATTTTGCCAGGTACAATCTGTTGTACAATTTCTATCATATTTTCCTACTCTTCATTTTAATAAATTTAGCACTCGTTTCACTTGTCTAATATGAAAATTTTGCAAATAGAAACTAGGTGGTGCTACTGCAGAGATCATGTCTGATTTGCTTGCTTTTGAGGCCGATAGAAGAGCAGTTAATATTACCATAAACAGGCATGTCACTGTTTCAGAATTTCTTATAATCTTGCTGGACAACGTTTATCATGGACCTTGTCATAATGTTTCTACTATTAACAAACATTTTTCATTTGCAGCATCGGCACTGAGCTAACACGTGATGACCGCAGGAAGTTGTACTCTAATTTTGGCTTACTGTAAGTTCATGTAGCTCAGTCTTTTATGTTCTTGATGGCATATGCTGCGTAACATCTCTTTCTGACACTGTCTATGTTAAATAGTTATCCATACGGTCATGAGGAACTTGCCATATGCGAAGACATAGATCAGGTATTGTATGAGCATCTTTCCTTTATTCTTCTTGTCGCTGCTTTTATGCCGGTGAAATATTCTTGCGTTGGTTAAATAATAGTTAGCTAGATACTATGATTCAGTAGTCTTGTTGGGGTGCTACATCGCATGCAGTTCTCCTTCCCCCACCTTGCCCTTTAAAAGGAGAAGACTGAAGCATCATATAGTGCCGGGAAGTGGGCAAGAAATCCTTTCCCTATTCTTTTTTGTGAGGGGGGAGTGCAATGGTGGCAATGGTGGAAGGTTTAAATACTATTTGAAGGGAGCGGAGAGATAAGAAGAAGAGGGGAGAAAACAAATACAGAATTTTGTTTGTCGAGTAAAGGATACAAGCTATTGCGCCGTTTCAATTTATGTGACGCATTTTTCTTATTAGTCCACTCCAAAAGGAATAACACATTTTTGATTTGGAAACCATTTAAGTTAAAAAATTTCAAATGTCTTATAGCAAAACAATTATTATATGGTATGTTTAAGACCACAAGTTTCAAAATCATCCTTTTTTTTTCTTAAACTTCATGCCGTGTCAAACTACGTCACATAAATTGAAACAGAGAGTAATATTTTTCGTGTCTTCTAAGTGTCCTCTTACTACCTGTTGTAGGTCCGTGGTGTTATGGAAAAGTACCCTCCTTACCAATCCATCTTTGCTAAGTTGGCATATGGGGAGAGCCAGATGCTCGACAAAGCTTTCTATGAAGAGGAAGTCAAACGCCTCTGCTTAGCTTTTGAACAACAGGTTTGTTCATTTGAGCTCTCTGTATAAAAATCCTATACTGTTAATGTCTCTTACTTGTACAGGACAACCTCAAAATTTCCCCACCCCAAAATGTTCCTCCAAGAAAGTGATAGGGAGCAGAAGCAGAAGGACAATCCATCTGCTTGATTGATATTTTCTTTTCTTTTCATTGCAGTTCCACTATGGTGTATTTTTTGCATATGTAAGGCTGAGAGAGCAGGAGATCAGGAACTTAATGTGGATTTCTGAATGCGTCTCTCAAAACCAAAAATCCAGAGTCCATGACAGTGTTGTTTTAATATTTTGGTAATTTAGCCATATTTGAGATGACGTGTTCTCCATGCTCATCTGTGAATTTGATTTGCACGACCATTTGTTGATAACTATGAGTTTTTGGTTAAGAAGGCCTGAACCCAGTCGTAGGATGGGTGTTACAGTAATTGTGAGGCCATTCTCCGTGGAACTTGTCATATCTCCTATGCCCTTCCAAAGCCGTAGGATGGGGGTACAGTTTCACATGAATATTACCCGTTCATTTGCAACTTAATAAGTCATTGTTTGTTGGTTAAATTTGTCATCTGGAACAATACTTGGATTGATGTGTATCAATGTATCACTATTTATTGAGTTTTGCTGCTGTCAGTTACTTGAATTACTGGAATTTAATTAAATGGGTATTTCCTTTGGTAAAGCGATGAGTTATAAAATATCTGCTTGAACTTGCAGGGCTGAAACATTAGAAACCGCAGTAGAGGAGAATGAGCATTTGTTGTTGATATAAGAAACTGAAAGTTTTCCTCTGTTTTTAGTTATGAACAAAAACTTCATATTGGCGATGATATGTCTTTGCTAATTGATCTTTTTCTTCGAGTCTCAAATCACCTAAGATATTTGTAGGTGGCTCAACAGTATCTTCTAATAACTTCATGTGTTAAGACATTGAAAGAAAGTGGTTAGCGAGAGGGTTCTTTCCTTAAAATAATTCTTCTTTTGTTATATGGTTAACAGATACCTTCTAAAAGTTACTCATCTATTCTGTTTCCAATCGAACCAAATAACATTAGATAAGCAATAACTTCCTCTCTTCCCTTGGACCAAAAATAGTAAAGGAAAGATGCTGACAATTATAAATACACGTAGAAAAACTAAATGAAAGACACAGAAAAAAAGATCCAACGTGATGGAATCAGAGTTTTTATTCCAAGTAAACATACATGTTGAAACGTTGTTAAAAGCCAATCAATGACTTATATTATTAGGACCCTCCCGTCCTCACAAAATACAATCTTTACCCAAAAGTTACCAATTATTCATTTATTCCTGCCTAGATGAAGGCAGGTTTTGTGTTCCAACACAAATGTAGTATCCAAAGGCCATTCAACTTAGATCAAACTAATGTTAGAATTGTCCAAATTAAAACCACACCCCCAACAAAAATCTTGTATGCAGATGTAGTAACCTTGTATGAGTTGTTTGAGTCATCCTTCTTTGGTGCCGGTCCCGGAACGGGAGCTTCCGGTGCCGGAGCTCCACCTTCCACGGTGATGACAAGCTTTTGGTTATGGTCGGAGCAATGTGTTGGAAAACCACAAATGTACCATTTTTTTCCGGGCTTAGCCAATGTGAGCACATCATGACCAGTAGTTAATCCTTCACTTGGTGGAGGAGCTATGCAGCTTTGGAAAGCAGTTTGGTTCACTTTGAACACATTATGATGCCCTTTGGTATACTTAAAAACTGCATCAAAGACGAAGAAAAAAATAGAAAATAGTTCAAGTAATAGTTACATCATTTAACTAGTTAAATAGCTTCCTTAAGCCATATAATAAATAATAATTCCTCATTTCTATTAACCAATTGAGAAAAGGAAAAGAAAGAAGAAAAGAAGTGAAAATTACATTCTTCCTATTGATTAATGAAGAGAAATAGAACAGAGAAATTACACTAAGTCAAGAAAAGAGGAGTTACTTCCGATACTCCACAAAGGTTTTGATAGTCCTTTACTACTTTTGATTCATGCCATCTATCTTTTAAGGCTTTTGCATATTACTCGGGAAAGATATTTAATACTCCCTCCGTTTCAATTTATGTGAACTTGTTTGACTGGGCACGGAGTTTAAGAAAAAATAAAGACTTTTGGAATTTGTGGTCCAAAACAAGTCAAGAAGGGGTCCAGAGTATTTATGTGGTTATAAAAGCTTTTCACTAAGGGTATAATTGTAAGTTTAAGCTAAATTGTTATCAAATTTAGAAAGGGTCATTTTTATTTGAACGAACCAAAAAGTAAATAGGTTCACAAAAATTGGAAAAGAGGGAATACTTTTAATCATAAGAGTATTTGTCTAGATTACTATTTATCTCTCCTTAAGTATCTCACTAAATTAACACAGCAATAAGAGTAGATCGGGAAAAAAGTAAAAAAGACTTCTTGTTATTCTAATACGACAAATATTTACATAAACGACTAATATTTGAGACCAGAGACCATATACAAAATTGTAATATAGGATCCACTTTTATATTAGTAAACAAAACGTTAATCCTTAAGAACATTAACTTTATTTTCTTTCTAGACCACTTCATAAGAATAATAGAATGGTTATATATGGCATACCTAAGGTGTCTCCAACTTTGAAAGTTTTGTCTTTGGCCCAAGCTTGATAATCAACATCAATGGTCCAGCCTTTATCACCCCCTACCCAATACTCAGCTGACGGTGCCGGAGCGGCGGGTGCCGGTGCCGGAGCTCCATCTTCGACGGTGATGACAAGCTTTTGGTTATGGTCAGAGCAATGTGTTGGAACACCACAAATGTACCATTTTTTACCAGGCTTAGCCAATGTTATCACATCATGGCCAGTAGTTAAAGCTTCACTTGGTGGAGGAGCTGTGCAACTTTGGAAAGCTGTTTGGTTCACTTTGAACACATTATGATGCCCTTTGGTATACTTAAACACTGCATCAAATGAAAAGAAGACAGGAAAATGTTTTAAGTAATAGCCACCGTTTAACTGGTAACAACTTGTTTGTTTTAATATGACCTCCGGTCCATTTTAAATGTCATTTAAGTTTTGTGGCACACCCATTTTTCAAATTGGTGAAAACAATACGGCTAGCCAGTTTTCGGATTGGTAATCGAAAAATAGCCAGCATTGCAAAGTCATTGAAAAATAGCTAGTCCCTCTGTTTCAAAAAGATTGATAATATTTCCTTATTAGTCTGTTTGAAAAAGATTGTCATCTTTCAATGATATGACAGGTTTCCGACCACAAGTTTCAAAAGTTTTACAACCACACAAATGTTATGGCTTATTTAAGGTCACGTATCTCAAAAGTCTTCCCTTCTTTATTAAAGTTTGTGCCAGGATAAACTAAGATAATCTTTTTGAAACGGAGGGAGTACTATTTTATGCCGAGATAAAATCTCGACAAAAATACCTCGCTGAAACACGAAAAGTTCCAGCATAATATGTTGGATTATGGAGCTTCTGCGTATAAACTTATAGCATATTATGTTGGAACTCCTGCACATTATGAAATTCTAGCACTTTATACTGGAATTCATATGTAAAAAAATTCGAACTCAAGCATATTATGCTGGAATTTTTCAGGATTTTTAAAGGTGTTTTTCTTCAGATTTTATCTGTATATGAAAAAATGACTAAATTTTAATTACTTTTAAAATTATAGCTATTTTTCGATTACCATTTATAAATCATGCTATTTCTAATGTATTTTTCCCCTTCAAAATGAGCTAAAATATTTGGCCCAACTCCACCTAATAAGCAGACTGAGTTGGCTGGCTCACGGATCAAGTCCATTTTAGTGGCCCTACAGAAAATCATTTAATAGCATTATGTTTTAAGGTTTATTTGACTAAATTTCCCTTTTATCTCTTCTAAAAATGAGTAATAGTATTACTTAGCTAAAACGACATTTAAATGAACAGCGTGAAGTAATGAATTGAGAAAGTGAAAGAATACATGTTTCATATGTCTAAGAAAGTATGATGCAACTAAAATAATTTACATTACCAATATATAACTTAAATCTGTCATACCTAAGGTATCTCCAACTTTGAAAGTTTTGTCCTTGGCCCAAGCTTGATAATCAACATCAAGGGTCCAGCCTTTGTCACCCCCTACCCAATACTCAGTTGCCATTGTGATTGCAGGCAGAAATCCTGCAATCATTATGATTAAACACAAAATCTTGGAAGCCATGTAAAATTCTTCTTAGGAGCTTACTAAAATAGAAAACTTTAAGGGTGAGTTGAAAAAAGAAAAATTGGTATATGGCAATTTATAGCTTAACTTAACAAGAAAGCTTAGCGAGATCCGAGGATAACAAAGTGATTGATTAATTTGAATTCTAAGTACGTGAACTCCAATGAGTTAGCCTGGCAAATATTCCACTAATTATTCTCGTAAAGTTCAAAGAAGAAAAAGGGAGAAGAAAACCTTAGTATTGTAGGTAGATATTTCCTCTATTCCATATTATTTGTCTTTTATGATTTTTGCTCGTTAAAAGAATTTTAATGGCTTTAATTATAAGATAAGTTTTCTAAATTATCGTTATTTTTTTCTCTTAAATGTTTCATCTTATTAACACTCGACTAATTGGAGTAGTAAGGCTAATAAAAAAAAATAACATATATANTTATTTGGAACAGGACGGAGTAGATTGTTAGCTTTTATAAGGAATTTTATCATACCCAAAATTAAAGCGCAAAAAAAAGAGAATACAAATATGACCATAGTTTATCATGTTTTAAGCTATAGGGTCACTCATATTGGAAATAATATGTCTCCATACTCTTAAATTGTGGAGCGTATGCTTGCTATGAAACACTATTTTTTTCAGCGAGTGGAGTACATTACCATTCTATTTTACTTATATTTGTCTACATGGTTGCGTCGTAATAGACTACCTACAACATAATCTCTTAAAGTGTAATCTTTCCCCGGACCTTATGTGAATACGGGATTGCTTCGTGCATGAAGCTGGTGTTGATACTGTTTTGTTCTTGTGTTTTTATCTTTATCCTAAAAAAGGACCTCAAAGAATACATTCTTAAAAACTTAGAGATTATCACATGTTTGACTGGTTGTTTGCTAGGAAAACTCTTTTGGAAACAGATACTGTTAATAACAAACACATCCAGGATCTTAACCACTCCCAATTTTGGGAAAGGATCCTTTTTTTTTTTTGAATAATTGTGGTTTAAATGTTTTGTGAATGTAAGGTGAGTGTAGAGATGAAGCTTCTTAGATTTTGATCCTTATAGGTAAATGATGGTTTGCAGGATATTTGACATTTGGAATGGCAACTCTTTTGAAAGTTGTTTTCTAAATATGGATTTAAATATGGTCACATGGTGTATTGAAAATAAAAAAGAACACAGAAAAGTGAGCATAAACTGACAAGATTTCTCTGATTACTTCTCCAAAATACATCAATCCGCTTGCTGGTATTGTAATAAGGAAATCCAAAAACCATCAAATATAGTTGATAAATGATTTTCAAGAAAAGGATAGCTCCGAAAAAATCAGCAAAAGGTCCAGAGGGCAGACTAACCTACACAATAATATTTCATCGCAACCACAATTATTTAAAATCAACAGAGAAATTTCTCATTAAAGTTCAAAGAACACCATGTTATAGTTGATTCAAGAATCCTCTAGTTCACTTG